TCTCTAGAAGCGATCATCATATTCAGATGAAACAAGTCTGATAATATGGAACATGCAAATTCTGACAAGGTTTTGGTAAAAACATGCATAATTAATAAAGTAAATTTGCATAAAAAAATGTTCTGGGTCCTCTACTACCCCGAGAACCTGAGTGGCACATTGGCTAACATGTTCCCCTCCAACAGTGACTTGAGGTTTCGTCTCCCACAGCCGAGTTCACTCAAAGTTTCTGACCCACACAAACAAAACAACTGCTTTGATGTATCAATTACCAGACCTAAGTTCTACTTAATTCCAAAGGACTTTGGTGCCCCATGTTTATTTTTATTATCTATATAGTTAATACCACAATTTCAAATTATTTTAATTTCAGATGATTCTCAAATGTAACTGCGTTTACTTATCCCAATTAATCATGTTTTTTTATTACGTGTGTGATTGCAAATGTGCCGAAAAATAACCATAACTTTTGAAAAATTTAACTACAAAATAATAATTGCACCAAATTTGGTTTGAAAAATTTGTGAAATGTCTAGACGTTGATGTCAGAAGAATAAAATATATAAAACAATTGCCTCGAACTCGAATGGTGTATCTTCGTCATTTTGTTTCTAAATAAATTCCTCTAGTTACGCAACTCTTTAATCTTATCATCTATCATACTGTAACGACTGTCGGCGTTGTTTTAATAGCGATAACGCTATTCTATGTAGTTTAGCGATCTTACTTGTATAGCGCCCTCTATAGTTAACAAACAAACAGACCGGGACCTGCCATCTTGAATAGAAAGTTAGTCAGATTTGATGGACGACGATAAAACCACAAAGTTATGGTCGTATTTAGCACCGATCCCCGGAATAGAGGTACGCTTTGTGATTATAAGTTCCTGTAGTTAATTTTGCTTTTTGTGTGATTTTGAGTATAATTTAAAGTTCGATATCGTGAAAGTCAAAAACGCATTACCGAGTGCACAACATGATGCCATCTACATTTACTGAATATTTGCACTGAACTTGAAGTGTACTTGTCTATCGGCTATGAAACGGCGGTTGTAAAACGTCGTTGTGATGGGATTACGTCAGGGAAGTGTTGATTGGGCAGTATATGAGTCTATGTATTAATAGTGGACTGGATATGCTTTGCTTGAGTAACCCTATACTTGTTTACATTATCACTTAGTATTTTTTATTTCTTTGTTTTTTTCTAGTTTTACGTGAATTTGTAATTTTCTCCATGAATTATATTCAATGAACCTTGACACTGGAGTGACCTTTGTGAACCAGTGAGCCAGTGAATAAACGACATTGATGTTGAATTTTATTTCTGACGCTTGCGGACTGTGACCCCTCAAGTGAACTGTTTCGTTATTGATGAAATTAATTTGGAGTGAAACGATTTATCAATAATCATTTGCCACAGTAAAACTCTACTGGTGAGTACAACTCTAACTGCAGAAAACAAATGCGGAAATAAAGACCATGGGTATACTAGTAGCTATGGAAGACCTATCAAGTTAACCGATAAAGCTCTGGAGAATGAATATGAAGAGAATAAGAAAAGGTATGAGCATGCATATAGACAACTCCACGGAATTATGCAGAACACATATGATTTAATAGCAAATAACGGTGATTCCAAAGCCATACATGGAGGTTATAAGAAATGTTTATTTCTATGTGAAAGATTTCTGCAGTGCGAACATGAGCACCCTGCCCTCCTACATGAAGATGAATTGAGCAAACATGAACCATTATTTTTACAAAGACGAGAATACATTGAATCATTTAAGTCTGCCGTGCGTCTTTCTTTGCCAAGGAACAAGATAAGAAAGATTGTTATGCTGACAACAACAGTGATTCTCAAACAAGCAGAGCTTCCAGAAAATCCAGGAGCTCTAAGGCTAGTTCATGTTCCACTCATACAAATATTAGTATGCAATGACTCCAAGAAGACCAGAAAAGAGCTGAGTGCGCTGCTCGTACAGCCGCACACCAGGAGCGAATGCGCCTAGAAAGTGCCGCTCTTCAGAGACGACGACAAATTGATAAGGAGAAACGACGTCTAGAATTGATTAGAGAACAATTCTTGTTGGAGATTAAGGAAATGCAAGATGATCTTGAGTTCGATATTAGAAATATGAAAGAAGAAATCAGCCTGCCTGGATTACTTCATTTCAAACGCTTGTTGAACAGAAGAAGCCATTATCCGCTAACAGATTATATTACCTAGGCTAATATACTATTTGTGAAGCCAAAGACGTTATTAAAGGTATATTGACGTTAGATAGCGAAAAAGCTTATATCAAATCAAAGAAATTACTAGTCGAGCGTTATGGAGATAAATCGTTACCAGCCATTTACTGAGTTGTGCCAGTTCTTAAGTAGAGAGGCTTGTATCGCATGTAGCCCAGCCAACTTGAAAGTTGATGATAAAAAAGAAGACTCAAAGCGTGGAAGAAATAGTAAATATAGTGGTGCGAGAAGTTTTGCAACAGAGGCAGATGAGTTTGAGAAGACTGCTGCTGTTGAGGAGCAACCTATATCAACTATCGACACAGCTATAGTGAAACGATGTTGTGCTCTATGTAAAGGAGAAAAAATCTTAGGGAAATGTAAAGACTTTCTCAAAATGAAATATACAGTAAGAAAAGCTGTTTTGATGTCTAAAAGACTTTGTATGGGTTGTCATAGATGTAAAAAAGTATGTGACACTTGTAAGCGTGCTCACCCTACAGTACTACACAACGATGCATTCAAAACAAATGTTGGTGGGGAGCCCAAGCTTGATAGCGCCATATCACACAGCTTGCAAGTTAAGACATGCTCTCACTCACTTATCGTTCCTGTCATGTTACGTCACCAAGAATCTCCAGGTCACCAAACATTGTTGTATGCACTACTAGACCCACAGTCAGATTCCTGCTTTTTATCAGAAACCACAATGAATAAGGTCCTAGCAAAGGCATATATAGTTAATTTGAAGCTATCAACTATGCTAGATTAAAAGATAATTACTAGTAAGAAGATCGATGATCTGGTTGTTAAAGATATGAATGGTGTAACAAATATAAATTTACCAAGTGTTTACACTAGAGAGGTGATTCCAGCCAGCCACAGCCAGATACAGAAGCCTGAAACCATCAGACGATGGCCTCACCTGAAGAAAGTCGCAGAGAAGTTGTATCCATACCAGAGCCTGTTAATTGGTCTTAACTGTACTTGTGCCTTGAAGCCCAGAGACGTCATACCTGGCAACAAGAACGACCCATGCGCTGTCCAGACAGCCCTAGGTTGGGGAGTTATTGGTATGATGCACAACCCGAATGATGACAGCATTAATAAGTAAGTATTGTGTTGTTTCCGACAGGAGTGAGTTGCATTCACTTGCGATATAGAATGGATGTTTCACCAAGTCAGAGTTGATTCTAAAGACCATGATTATCTGAGATTCCTCTGGTGGGAACACGGAAAGCTAGACCAAGAGCCGTGCTAACTTTGCCCTGATGGCATCAGCCGATTTGTATGAAGATGGGTATGGTACTGCAGCAGCTGAATTTGTAAGACATGACTTCTGTGTAGACGACAGATTGAAATCGGTAGCATCTCCATCTGAAGCAATACATTTGATATACATTTGAAGTAGTAAACTACTTTGTAAACGAGTAGGATTCCGACTCTACAAGTATATCTCTAACAGTGAGGAGGTAATAGAAAGTATTTCTCCCAGTGAACGAGCTAAGGGTACACAGAACTTTGATCTTCACTGCAATGAGCTGCCTATGGAACGTACCTTGGGATTTCAGTGGTGTGTAGAATTGGATACCTTTCAATTTCGTATCGAGTTAAAGGATAAACAATTTACTAGAGGAGGATTACTATCTACCGTGAGTTCTGTATTCGATCCACTCAGATTAATAGCTCCATAGATACTTACAGGTAAAAGGATACTCCAAGAACTAATCAAAGATGGAGCTGGCTGGCATGATGCAATACCAGCTGATATCAAAGTAAGATGGGAATGATGGAGAGCAGAACTTCTTCTTCTCTCAAAGCTAAATATTCCTAGATGCTATAGGCCAACAGACTTTTGTAAATTGAAGATGGCTGAGTTGCATCACTTCTGTGTGCAGTTATTTGAGACTGATAGATGAACACAACAGAGTGTCTTGTTCTTTGGTTATGGGAAAGGCCAGAGTGACCCCATTGAAGCCATTAACCACTCCTAGATTAGAACTAATGGCTGCAGTGACATAGGTAAGTGTGAGCAATTTCCTAGCCAAAGAGCTACAATATGAAGATATATCTCACACTTATTGGACTGACAGTATGGTGACACTAGGCTAGATAACAAATAAGGCAAGGTGTTTTCATATTTTTGTGGCAAACCGAGTTCAAATAATTAGAGATTTCACATCTCCAGAGCAATGGCGACACATTGCTACCAAAGATAATCCTACAGACATAGCGTCGAGAGGCGTAAGCGCAAAGGAATTGAACCAGAGTTCTTCATGGTGGGAGGGACGAACATTCCTATCGACAGCAGCGACGTTGATCCCAGAAATCAACCATGTTGACCTTGAACCTGACAACCCAGAAGTCAAGCAGATAACTGTGTTGGTCACAAAGGTCAAACCTGACAGCCATGCTGACATATTAATAAGACTGCAATATTTTTCGAGCTGGCAGAAAATAGTAAACCAAGATGTTAAGCTATCGAAAGTCTGTAAAGACTTAAAATCATTGAAGGAAGTGATAAAGATATCACACATACCTGTTGATGTCGATGAAATGCAAAGTGCTGAGCAGGAAATCATCAAATGAACACAGCAACAGGCATTTGCTAAAGAGTTGCAGAATCTCCCTGATACAGAATTCTCAAGTACCACGACTGGTGGAGATAGTCAAAAGAAGCGCTCAAGCAATCTATTCAGATGAATGTGAAATACAGTGCAACAGTGCATTCCATGCCATAAATTATGTTGACCTGCACAAGAGCAGAGGATGTCCGATCTACCACGAGACAGACTAGAACCCACAGTTCCATTTACTTATAGTGCTGTGGACTACTTTGGACCTTTCTACGTAAAGGAAGGGCACCGGGAACTAAAACGATATGGTGTGCTCTTCACCTGTTTGAGCTCGCATGCAATCCACATTGAGACTGCTAACTCACTAATTACTGATTCATTCCTGAATGCCTACTGTCGCTTCATTGGCTGCCGTGGACCGGTACACTTCGATCAGATAGAGGAACAAATTTTGTTGGTGCAAAAGGTAAATTACTATGTGCGCTGGCAAAGATGAATCACAAGAGTATGCGTCATGAGCTATTAAAGAACAGTTGTGATTGGGTGACATTTGAGCTTGGGAGAGGATGATTAGATCCGCCAGCAACGCTTTGTCTGATTTACTGATGACACATGGTTAGCAGCTTAATGATGAGTTGCTTAGAACACTCCTTGTTGAAGCAGAAGCCATTGTGAACAGTCGTCCCCTCACATACACTGATGTTAGTTCAACAAGCTCATTAGAACCACTCTCCCCTAGTCACATATTGACATTAAAATCTAACGTAGTTCTTCCACCACCCGGAGAATTCCAGAGAGCTGATGTGTATTGTCACCACTGTTGGAGGCGTGTGCAGTACCTCGCAAATGAATTCTGGAGTTGCTGGAAGACAGAGTTCTTACTGACTCTACACGAACAACAAAAATGGGTTGCCTCCCAACCAGATCTACAGAAGGGGTTGTGATGATGGGCGATAGCCTGCTGCGATCCAGATGGCCACTCACACGCATCATCAAAACCATTCCCCGAGAAGATGGCCATGTCAGGAGTCCACTTAGCAGTTGGACAATCTAATTATGATCGACCAATACATAAACTTGTATTGTTAGTTAGCCAAGGTGTCCCCGTCAAGGAGTCTGAATAAGAAGAATAAGACAATCCTCGATAGTAAAGTAGTAGTATTTTGTAGACATAGTCTTTTGATTTTTTGTTAGGTGAATTGCTTCAATTTAGAGGAGCCATGTAACGACTGTCGGCGTTGTTTTAATAGCGATAACGCTATTCTATGTAGTTTAGCGATCTTACTTGTATAGCGCTCTCTATAGTTAACAAACAAACAGACCGGGACCTGCCATCTTGAATAGAAAGTTAGTCAGATTTGATGGACGACGATAAAACCACAAAGTTATGGTTGTATTTAGTACCGATCCCCGGAATAGAGGTACGCTTTGTGATTATAAGTTCCTGTAGTTAATTTTGACATGCTTTTTGTGTGATTTTGAGTATAATTTAGAGTTCTATAGCGTGAAAGTCAAAAACGCATTGCCGAGTGCACAAAACAACGTACATGATGCAATTTACATGTACTGAATATTTGCACTGAACTTGAAGTGTACTTGTTTATCGACTATAAAACAGCGTTTGTAAAACGTCGTTGTGATGGGATTACGTCCTTGTATTTTGATATGCCAGAAAAGTGTTTATTCGGCAGTATATGAGTCTATGTACATGTATTAATAGTGGACTGGATATGCTTTGCTCGAGTAACTTTATACTTGTTTACATTATCACTTATTATATTGTAGCATTATCAATACCAGTGGATTTTATGACGTCATTGCAGCAGATTATTCGCGATAATGTATTACGTTATTGAGCATCAAGGCCCTGTCCCATGGATATGAATACAATGTTGATTTCGAAAATGAATAAAGAAGAAACTATTGAAAAAGAAGAAATATTGTTAGATATTTAATACTACAATCGACATCAAATAAAACGGTCCATAACCAATAACAGCGGATTTCAATATCGAAATCAGACAATATTTTGAAGGCATCGTCGTCTGCTCTGTACCCTAACGTGCGTTCGGTCGACGCGTTCCATCTAGTACGCGCGCTTCTAGATTCCGCGACTGATGCTGCTATCCTGGTGGCCTCCTGATTAGTCAAGGCCGTAGCTAGCGGGGGAGCAAGGGGCCAGCTGCCCCTCTGAGTTTGGGATTTTTTTTTATTTAAAAACCTTAAAATAGAAAAGTTTCGAGCAACCACGTATTTAGTTTGTACACTATTTGAAATAAAACATGGTAAGCCAGTTGTGTGTATTTTGTTTATATTTATTACTGAGCGCTTTGACGCGTACTGGTAAGACGCATGCACCCAGGACAGCGGGTCAAACGTTACCTTCAAGTATTTCAGATTAACACGTCAGCCATGTTAGCTCCGACGAAACGTTGCACACAACTGTCAATGTTGATTTTTTATAGTACAAGCAGTAAGGAATCGAGGTAAGAAATACCAGTATGATTGATCTATGACGTCGCCCTGACAGTATTCATGGCAGTAAATTCAAATAAACGAAAAATCGACCACACTCGCCACAATCTGATGATATAAATCATTTAAATTACGGTTTCTCTG